AGAGAATTCCAAAAAGTACAGAATGTAGGAATGTAATTAAAATGTGTATTTTACAATGTGGGTGACAGAAAGGAAATAACACATGTTTACTTCACAATAGTTATGAGACTGCCAGAATCATACAACTTTCAACTGCCTACAATTAAGAGACAGGTGTTCAGGTAAAAAGAATATCATAAAAACTTAAAGCAAAGAAATGGAAGTTCATTAAGGGTCGTGCTATATATTGGGTTATATTTACAGTAAGGTTGATGTCACACATTATTTTACACTCATGGGAAGTTAAGTTCAGCAATTTTGTCCTGTGAGAAAGTCACAGTGTGATTACACAAACATGGGGTGTTCAGACAGCACAGTGAACTCAGGAGTTGTGTTTTTATATGGCGTCAATGAAGTAGGTTTTTTACACAAATGTCAATGCACACATGTGTGACCCATGTGAAGAGATGTGGCATCACTACACCAATGATATCCACAAGTGAGAGAGATATGTGAGCTCCATTAAGAGTTTATTGAAATGTTATTGGATGAAGAGTGTCTTGTTTAGACAAAGACATGTGTGCAGGGGCCTGTACAGGAAAGGATGGCCATAGAATTTGACAATGATGAATATGTTTAATGTCATGCTCCAGAGTTAAAACCATTCCTGCAGAAACTGTGCATCCTTTTGAATAATGACTAGAAAGATCCATGCAATTGAAATAATGGTGACTGGTCAATTTTCTGTGACATTTATTCTTATGATTACACATTCAGGGATACCTTGGGGTCTCATTCTGGAGGAAGACCTGCCTGGTTTCTGTGGGGTCTCTGTCAGGGAGGGAGCTTCTACAGTGCACATGATTCTCACTGTTTATGAACCAGCACTACTACTCCTCTCTGAAAACACAGGGCCCCAGCCATCTTCACAACATGTTAAGGTGCTACAAGATATAGTCTCTGTGAGAGTGAGCTGCCTGGTGAACTTCGAGATGAAATATTAACATTCGATATTCCTGAATCAAATTTTGCTAATATTAAAACCCTTTGCCACACTGAGGTACCAATAAGGGAATGAAAAGACAAGCTTAGACTGTAGAGCCTATGTTCACATATTATGTCTGAAAATCATTCTATTCTGAATATTAAGGACTTTTCATGTAATGCAGGAACAAAGGACCCTCTGAGAACAGGGCCCAGCCCTCCCAGGAAGGTTGGAGATGAAGAGGGTTCCTTTGAGGGTCACAGTGACCTTCCCTCTGAGCAAAGCTGTGGGTGAGCCCCACCCCACTCTGTTGCCTCTGGGCACAATGAACATTCAGTAGCAGAATCTGAGAATGTGAGTCAGTCATGATTCTGCCCACATAATCTATGCAATATTTGGAGGGCACTACTTCACAGAGATGTGTAGTTACTGCTTAGTTTGTCCTCTTCTCCATATAAAATCATGCTTCTGTCTAATGGAATATGGGAGGGTTCTCTGCTCTAGACCTCAGTGCCTTTATGGAGAGTTAGCACAGAGAACCTTGGACACATACACAAGTCTCACACAGAAAAGATCAAGGAGGTCTATCCTGGCCTTTCTTTGTTGTTACTCATATAAACATGGTCATGTGTGTTTAAGGTAAGACAATGGAGTCTTGGGAAACTGGTTATATATATTTGGTTAGTAACTTATAACTAACTTGAAAGCAACATATTACTATACAAAAACTATGATTAAAAACTCATGCCCTGGCTTATTTCACTAAGCATAAAGCTCTCCAGTTCCATCCATGCTGTCACAAAGAGCAGTAGCTCTTTCTTCCTTTCTGCTGTGTATTATTCCATTGTGTAAAAGTACCATAGTTTTCTGATCCACTCATTTACTGATGGGCACTTAGGTTGCTTCCAGCCCTTGGCTATTGTAAATTGTGCTGCTATGAATATTGGGGTGAATTGGTTCTTTTAATTGGCATTTTAGGATTCTTAGGGTATAATCCCAACAGTGGAATCACTGGGTAAAAAAGAATTTCCATTTTTAGCTTTCTGAGGACATTCCAAATTGTTTTCCACAATGGCTGCACCAGTCTGCATTCCCAGCAATGGACTAGGGTTCTCTTTTCTCCACAACCTCTCAAGAACCCTTTTTTTTTTTTTTTAATTTTGATGGTTATTCTGACCAGTGTGGAGTGGTATCTCATTGTGGTTTTAATTTACATTTCTGTAGTGGTTAGTGATTATGAGCAGCCTTTTATATGTATCTGGACTCTGTGTATGTCCTCCTTGGAGAAGTGTTTGTTCAGGTCCTTTTTTGATTTTGTTTTGCTCACTTTTTGATTGAATTGTTTGTCTTCCTGGAGTGTGGTTGTGTGAGTTCATTATATATTTTGGAGATCAAACCTCTATCTGATGTATCATTGGCAAATATATTATCCTATATGGCTGGCTCCTGGTTCATTTTGCTGATGTTTTCTTTAGCTGTGCAGAACCTCCTTATTTTGATGAAGTTCCATTTGTTTATTCATTCCCTTATGTCCCTTTCTCTAGGGGACATATCAGTGAAAATATTTCTGTATGGGATATCTGAGAGTTCTCATCTATAAGTGGAAAATAATCAGCAAAACAAGCAGGCGAGGAATATATGATCAGCAAAATTGGAGAAAAAAAAAGAAACTGACAGGGATGGGAGGGAGGAAAGGAGGAGGATAGTGGGGAGGGGAATGGAAAGGGTCAGATCAAGGGCCAGATGTGAAATACACATGGATGAAGCCAAGATGGAGAAGGATTGAGTGGGTGAGGTGGGAGTGGGTATAGCAGGGGAAAAGTGTGGTGAGTAAATAGAGACACATATATTTGAATTAAAAAATAAATTAATTAAAACAAAAGAAAAAATAAAAACAAAACAAAAAAAAACTCATGCCCTGTCTAGTAGGTGGGGAAGAGGCAGAAATGTCCCTTCAATTGTCAACATTCAAGCATAAAATAAAATAAAGCCTGACTACCTATATCCACTTAACAATCAAAAAATGAGCAAAAAGGAGCAAAAACTAAATAAAAATAAAAAGGTAAAACCATTATGTGTTTATAACCATGACTGGAGTGAATAAGAATGATTATAAGTAATGATGAAGATGATGATTTTTGTTATGATCTTTATGGTAATGATGATGATGAAGATGAGGATGATGAAGGACTGATAGAAAAGTCTCAGTTCAATGAAACTAAGGTTCCTCACACAGGCACATCATCAATATGGCTCCTGCAGTCAGGGGTGCCCTCTCTTCCCTGTAGTGTTGAGAAATTTCCTAAATGAAGCCCCAATGAACCATTCAGCTTTAATGACTCATGGTGGTACCAGAAGAGCAATGACCTTCATGGAGTCCAACTCCTAAACCCCTGACCTGTGACATTGTTACCAAACATAACAAACACTGTAAAAATGTGATTGTGGGTCACGAGAAATCCAATTTCCACCCTTTCGCAGTGACATATTCTTTATTTCTCTTTGTCTCTACCTGCAGAATTTTAACATTTTCATTTCTAACAAATGCCTGTCCTTAAATGCGTAGGTAACTTTTAAGACAATATGATCTGTTTCTATCACACCCTGTATTTACTTCTGGGTCCTACCATGAGAATCTTTAAACCAACATTTCTGGTAGCACTCTGCTCATGACAATGATGCATATTTGTGTGATGTCTCAAAAAAGCAGTCCCGCATCTTCCCTTTGCCTGTTTCAAAGTCACTCCTAGATTGGTGTGTATTTTTCCAGCAGTCTCCACCCCTGCTACCAGAGCCTGATATAGTCTTTATGGCTGTGGTAACCAATCAGTATGGGCAATGGAAGTTGAATAATTTCTGGGGCATTTTTAGAATAAAAGTCACCCAATAAGAGATCTACTAAAATATTAATACATTAGATTTAGATAAAATTAAATGGATTTACTCCAACAAACTTCCATTAGTCCAGCAACAAGGCAAATGTGAACATGAAGAACATATTTCCAAATCATGAGTATAACAGAAGAAAAAGTTTACTATACATTAAGAATGTCCTATGCTGCTATGGGAGTCCAACACCCTCTGACTGCACTGACCATCACCGTAACAGAGCTGACAGAGGATAGGAGTGAGAGTTTCCTCTTAGGGTTCAAGTTCCCATTCCTGTGAGAAAAATCATTGCTAGAAATTCTCCTTATTTCCTTCTATCAGAAACCCAATATCACTGACAACACTAGACTGAGAAAACAGCTCAGTTCTTCTGCTGCCATAATAATTCATCACATTAAACATTCTGAATTGTACATCGAGATACTCTCTCCTTTTATTTTCAATCATGTTGCCATGTAAAAAGGTGACCAACACTGATGTGATTAGTTTGGAATCAATGCAGTGTGCTCTAAGCTGGCATAAGGGAACAGTTTGCAAAAGGAGGTGTAAGTGCAAGAAGAAAATTTCCACCATCAGAAATAAAAAGTGTGCCACCTTCCCATGCATCGCAGGGAGTTTCTCAGATGAAAATGACAACACACATTAGGAAATGAGATGGTGAGAATGACTGTCATTAATTTTTGAATTACTTTACTAATATGGATGTTATTTGCAGAAATCATAACATAAAATTTTGAAAATTATGGATATACTAGAGTTTTGGGATCATAAACTATCTGAAGCACTGGTTATCTTTTTAAATATGTTTAAAAGATGTGTGAGATTTAAAGAATCACATATTCATCTAGTCCACCATTGCATTGTCAAAGTATCTCATGAACCAGCGGATTCCTTATCTCTGATGTACATGTTGAATGAGATGCAGAGAGAGTTCAGGAGAAAGTACCCAACAGAAGTCCCAGAAAAATGAGGTTTCCTGACCTCAGTACCATCAGTACCACTTTACTTAAACAGGAGAGTTGGCCCCACATGCAAATTTCTCCTCCTAGTCGAGGGTAAATCCTCCCCTGGTCAGAAGGGGTTCATAGCTCTCCCCTCATACAGTGCTGAATTCTCTGGGGAAGGAAGAGCTGTGCTCTAAAAGAAGATGAGACTGCTGGATCTTCTGTGCCTGGTGACAGCCCCGCTGGGTGAGTGTCTCCAACCTCACGCATGGGATTAAGGGGAGGTGGTGACAGTGCATGACTGACATAAACTGATTCTCTTTGTCCCCAGGTGTCCTGTCCCAGGTGAAGCTTCAGGAATCAGGCCTAGGACTGGTTAAGCCCTCACAGACCCTCTCCCTCACCTGCACTGTCTCTGGATTCTCTTTAACAAACTATGATGTGCAGTGGGCCCGCCAGGCTCCAGGGAAGGGGCTCGAGTGGGTCGGTGTTATATGGAGTGGTGGAAGCACATATTACAACCCAGCGCTGAAATCCCGCCTCAGCATCACCAGGGACACTTCCAAGAGCCAAGTCTATTTGGCACTGAACAGCCTGAGAGCAGATGACATGGCCATGTATTACTGTGCAAGAGACACAGTGAAGGAAAGTCAGTGTGAGCCTAGACAGAAACCTCCTGCAGAAGACAGGAGGGCTGGATTGCAGGAAGTGCTCAGGACATGAGGGGGTACTCAGAGACCACAGAGAAGAGACTCAACCCCAGGGGAAGATGTGCACCTGGGTGGGGAAGGAAGAGGCTTCCCCTGGAGAAGAGGCATTTCCTTTAGAAACTTTCAGAGACATCCAGGGAGAATTCTTCTATTTTCTATGCAAATCTAATTTTCCAGATTCTCACTGCAGAAAATAAATGATGAAAACATATTTTTGCTGATGGCATGTCAGCAGTGAAACCTTTCCTTCATTAAGTCACTCTATGTTCTGTCATTCCTTCTTAACTAAGTGCATCAGATTTTTATCAAAGTATACTTAATATGTGATCTTCAATTTACTCTAGGAGTGTTTGCTCTAGAAGGGAAAAATTCTATGTTTATTCACATATATATTCAAATATTTAAATCTTTTTATTTGTGTTAGATTATATAAATAACATGGAAGTTCTAGCTTTAAAATAAGCAAAACAAGGGGAGAGTCATGAATCTAATTCTACTCAGAAATGAAAATAAGAACCAGCAGGTACAGACATCAATGAAGGAAGGTCTCAGCAATCACTCAAAATTGACAGAGCCAGATTCAGAGAAAACAAAGGAGTATGTCTGGTGTTCACACAGCCACCCTGATGGCAGTGGCTAGCTGGGCTGTCCTACATTTCTACCTGTTCCCAGGTGGGAAGCTACACTCTGTGAAGACTGAGGGTTTCCTCATTCTGAGAGGGGCCCTGAAGGGATAGAGGGCCCCACATCCAGAAGCAAACATGTCTGGGCTCCTGTGAATGCAGAGTTTCTACCACGAGGTCTGTTGTTGTTCTGAAAACAGCAGTCTCCTCCAGGTGCCTCAGTTAAGGGTCTCTCTCACAGACACAGGTATCCAGGGCAGATGACACACCACTGATCCCCCATCTTCTGCAATTGCCTTTAACCACACCCAGGTCTCCAGTACCTTCATACATGCTGGAAGTGACATTATTGATATGGAAATAGATCTGGAACTCAATCTCATGGATGATTTCCAGCCCCTTGCCTGACAAAACTCTGAGGTATTTATTCATCAGCCATTGAGGACAAAGATGGCTTCACCATTCACTTGGTAAGGAGCTGAGTGCACACACCCAGGTGCATAGCACCTTACAGCACCATAGCCCACCTATCAAGGTTGGTATATCCAGCCAGGCATGTCAGGGTGAGGCTGACAGAGACCCAGGAACCCAGCATTGCTGTACCACTGACAGGATTATATCAAGGGGGTTGATTGAAATGAGTATAGGGACTAATGTCTTTTGGTGGCAATGCCTGGAGCTCAAATTCTGCAACCTGCAGCTTGGGGCTGAATGAGGGACAATGGTACCTTTTTCTTTGGAAAGATGGCTCTTTGACCAGAAGCTGGAGACAGAGTCTGTTCTCTTGAATGCACTGTCTTCAATGCATTTGCTACAATAAGACAAGGAAATGAGGGTTTGTGCCTTTGTTTAAGATGTCTAGCTGGTCCCACTGTTAGCATCTTTTCTGGACCAAATGCTATTCATTGACAGTGTTCCAGTGGGATCATCTCCACTCTCAGTAGAACTTATAAAACGATTTCTGCATTCTGACTAGGGATGAAGACCTTGTAGCTCCCTCTGACCTCGTGCTTGAATTGAAACACTGTTTACCCTTTTGTGTTGTGGTGAGAATTCCAAGTAAGACCTATGCTTCACACAAATAAATAGTACATGCTGCTGGTTTACTTCAGGTGCACTGATGGTTAGTTGACTTCTGGAACCTAACCGTTCTGCATAGCAGAATGTTTCTTCCCTGGGAAGGCAGCTCCACCATGCCCCTCCCATCAGCTCTGGGCAACCACCATACTGTCTTTGCCTTCTCCACTGGACTCTCTAAGAGATCTGACTAAAAAAGGATCATGTGGTGTTTGCTAAGCTGTGCCTGTATCACTTCACTAGCCTGGTATCCTCAAGCTTCAATAGTGCTTTGGCTTACAGCAAGATTCCTTTTAATTATTGTAATGATGTTGTAAATATTTTAAAAAACAATATGAGTGGCAACAAATGTTTATCTGAGATCAAAACAAAGGGCTACATAGGAAGCATAAGTCCTAACACAGGCAGAATGCTGCATACTTCTCTGATTAGGGATGAAAGTGAAGGGCGACTGTGGGAAAGAGAGCGATGCAGGTGCAGGAGTAGAAGGGAGAAACTTATATCATTGTGCCCAAGCTCAGTTATTCTTTAGGTGCTCATGGATGTATGAATTCTGAAGATTGTCTACAATTTTCAATCCTGTATTCAGGATACATATCCTCTGTTCGCCATGCAAACAATTGTTTGAAATGCAATGTTAGGGGCCCATTGCAAAGGTGACTGTGCTGAGTCCAAACCTCTCAGAAGTTGGGCATGAAGTGGTGTCCTGTGGTTTTCCTGGAATGGATGCATGCACTGTGTTTTAACATAACTCCTCTCCTCACATTCTCACAATAAGAACTCTTTGCATGTGATGTCTCCACCACAAATCTTTAAATATACAATATAGTGTGAGTAATTAAGACAAGACTACAGCAAACCCTCAGGCATGACTCTGTCTAAAGGTGGAAACCTACAGCCAAGGAACACCAGCTTCCCAAGTTCTACCTTCAGTGCTGCAAGAACTGTCCTGCTACCTGTGTCCATGGGCTGCACTGACTCAGAGATATCACCTTTGTGGGTTACAAAGCTTTTGTCCTTTCTGATGGCATAGTGCACATATTTGTGTCATATATTTACTGAAATATATTTATTTGATTTATCACATTACTATGAAAGGTTTCTTAAAAACAATCCTGATACAGTTCCCAAGTGTGATAATACATTATAGCAATATCTACATAGAGGAGAAATATGCAGTGCCTGCAGTGACATCATGGCACATATATTTGACACTTACCTGAGAATCCCAGCACAGGTCTAATGTCCTGGATAAATGCAAACTTCCTCAGTGTTCCTCTAGGTTAGGTCCACCTATGACTTCCCCCAGACAGTGACAACAGAAAGAGACCCTCTAGTCTGTCTCTGGAGCTAAGTCAGACCTCAGTGGCTGCTGAGCTGCTGAGTTTCAAGGACATGAATTTCACATAGGAAAAATCACCACAGCTCCTTCATGAAAAAACTGAGGGAAGACCATCTTTGAAGGGTAGTCTGGTAATGACCAGTTGGGTTTGCATTTTCACTTGTGACACCTTGGTCAGTGCTGGAAGGTCTATGAGGGTGGAATCAGAGATGCAGGTTCAAGGGGAGGTGATGGTTCCTGCAGGCACTGACCAGAGCATCTGTGGGTCACTGAGCAGCGGGTCTGTCTCCATGTGTGATGCAGTGTCTGAGGTTCACATGTCAGGTGGCAGAAGGGAAGATAAACATCAACATGGAGCATCAAGAAAGGATGAAAAACTAGTATACCCCTCACAGAGCTGGCCTCACTCACATACAAAGTCACACTCAGGCCGTGTATCCATGTGACAGCGCTGTCCATATGGTAGGAACATGGGAAAAGGAATCCTGGAGATCATTACCTTGAAAAACTTATTACTCTGTGTGTGTGTGTGAGTGTGTGTACGTGTGTGTATGTGTGTGTGTGTGTGTGATAGAGAGAGAGAGAGAGAAAGAGAGAGAGAGAGAGAGAGAGAGAGAGAGAGAGAGAGAGAGAGAGAGAGATTTATTGAACAGAAAATTACAGAAGGATGAGAACGACATTCAGGATACTCAGGTAAGATCTTCCACCAGAGGAATATGAGCACACCTTAGGCCACGAAAATTACTGAGAACTTCTAGACTCAGAAGTGTTGACTGTACCATTGCATCTGGCAGCTCCAGGGAAGGGGATCCCTCCTGGCTCATAGAATCCTGGTTTTGTGGCTCTGCGTAGAGTCACTGTGGTTTGGTAAGGCCAGTCCTCTGTGTCTAGAGTTGTCTAAGCACATAGTGTCTCTGAGAGTTAGCACATAGCATTTAATACTGGACTGAGGTGTGGAGATTTCCATGCCCTTTGAGTCCAGACAAGACCCTACCCTGCAGGGAACAAACTGGATGACAGGGGACACATGGGATCGAAGGGCTCTGGGCTCCTGTCCCAGGACCAGGTGCAGAGGACTCTGGGGAGGGATTTCCTGTGATGGTCCAGGTCTTGTGTTTTGTTTTGTTTTGTTTTAAATGAAAACACCTAAAATAAGAATTGGATGTGAGGTGAATTTAAATATCTCATTCTTTCAAAGCATTTACCAAACTCAAGATGACATGAGAACCATAGTTAATCAGGGTGTTTCTGTGTCTTCTTTATATCTGAATTGCAAGGATCTGAATGCAAGGATGGTTTTATTCACTCACTAGGTGCAGCATTTTGGAGACACCCTGATGTAGGAATATGATGTGCAGAAATCAAGGCCAGACTAGCCCAGGTGTGCTTTGTGTCAATGAAAGGCAAATTGACAAAGAAGAACATGTCCTCTGTGGCCTCTGTCACTGGGAGGAGCTATGTCTGCCCAGAGCTCAGGGACCTGACAGGGGACACATGCCCTGAAACATGGATTAGAAATTTGTCCAGTAGACTCCCAATGAGCAAGGTACTGGTGTCCTCTATCTTCTCTAAGGAGGAGTCAAGAACTCAGCTTTGAACTACACTGCCTCATGCATGTATAAATAAAGAGAGGTAGATTTGGTTAAATATGGGTCTGTCTGAGGGCTGAGATCATATATCACCCACACCCACAGCCTCTCCTCTGTAAGTCCTGGGAGCACAGACACCATGAACTGGAGCTGCCCTATGCTGTTGCTGGTGGCAGTGTTTTCAAGTAAGTGGCATACCAGACATTTGATTGAGCAGGACATCAGCGACAGGCAAGGGGAAATTCTACACACTTTTGTCTCCTCTCCACAGGTGTCATGCCCTGGTGCAGCTGGTGTGGTCTGGGGCAGAGGTGAGGAAGCCTGGAGCCTCAGTGAAGGTCTCCTGCATGGCTTCTGGGTACACCATCATCTGCTACAATGT